CGAATAAGCGACGATGATGGCGACGACGGCAAAACGAGCAAAATTATAGAATTAAGAGCGGTAACCGCAGAGAGAAAACTTGGAGCCAATATACAACACACAACTCTTAATTCTTACTTCTGTTTTTCTTTTTTTGCTTCTCGAGTTTGATATTTCGATATACGCATTCACTGTAGCCTATCTCTACTCATCTATGCATGACATTTCACATGCAATGCCTTTTTCACCACACTCATTCGTTCAAATTCATCATCCAATTCTAATTTATGTGTGTTTGGTTCCTCATTTCTTTCGTTTTTTTTTTGTTCTTCTCTTATGCGTATTACTTTTTTAAAATAGATAATTATATGAATAATACGAACCAAATGACTTTCTATACGTTCAGTGGAACATATTTTACGCCGAGAATAATTCGATTTAAATGATTGTTCATCTATCTTGTCTCTGTCTCCGTGTTCGTTGTTTGGGTTTTAGACGAGTTACCGTGCCGTGTGTTTACATATTCAAAATGTCGCACGCGCGATGAACACACATTTATAATATTTATCTCAATTTGATATGTGTGATATAATTTTCGAGACGAAAGGAGAACAACAGAAACCAAATCGCTCAAAATGTTTCGTAAAACGGAAAGGAAAATATGCGGAAAAATTGAATTTAATGAACAAGATGGGAAAATTGTCTCTCTTTCTCTTTGAATGTGTAGCCTATCATTGAATCGAGAAAGGCCTTTTTCTCTCTTTATGTCTTATTGCACCTACTGACTGATCCATTGTTGGTAAAGAGTAAAAAAAAACGAAACATGAGCGAACGAGTAACAAATGGAAAAGAATGTTGTATAATTAAATAACAAGGAGAAATTGACGGATGAAACACACATGCAACTTCATCAAATCTCCGGCAGTTTGCAACGCATTAGGTGATTAAATTATGAGCATTCGAATAGATAAATCTTAGGACTCCATATTGAGAGAAGAAGAGAAAAAAACGAGACACATCAACGTCTATATTGCGCATTTGAAATGAACATCGTTTTTTCTATGCGTTAGCAGTAACTCATCAATGAAATCAACATTTGCAGTCAATACGGAGATTGAATAGTTTTGTTACTTTCTTGTCTGATTGATATATATATTGTAAGCCAGCGGCTTTACACAAATTTATGTGTATGTATAATTATCGCACGACAACCGCGACAACAACAAAAACAACAGTAAAAGCACCAGCCCCGGTAACGTATAAATGTACTAGGCTTGTTTCAATTTTTCCTTTCCTTTCCTTTCATCATTATCATCAGCAGCGGCCAAAGCATTCGTTGTCGTAATTTTTTCTCGTCGTTCCCCAATATTTTCCGTGAAAAAGAAAAAAAAACGAAGACGACAACGACTTTTCCGCTCTTGTATTTTAATGCGTAGATATTTTTAGATTATACACGCACACACATCGATCGTACAAGTCGTATAGAGTGAAAAAGAGAGAAATGACTTCTTCGGGCTTCAATATATAGCTAGAGAAGAGCTGTTTGCTGATCGCGTCGAAAATAAATGAGCAAAAATGGTCTCTGTGGCATTTCATGTAAATATCACACATCAAACAAACGAACAACCGAGATTTAAAACGAACAACGGACAGAGAGGGAGAATCGAAGAGGAAAACAGCGATCGAAAAGAACACGTAAGAAATGTAAGTGATCCAGATCGTTGGTCTCGCTTAACTTAACTAATATGAAATTAAAGAACTCTCTCTCCTACACACACGTATCATCAAATTGCATCATTTTTGTACACGGTTATTTGGTTCCATATGGAAGATTTGTTGCTGCTTTCGCATCACCGAATCGGTGACATATCATTCCATATGCTCTAATAAACGATCAGACGTTAAAACCATAATAATTGAGTGTGTTGCTTATATGTGTTTGTCAGTTGCATGTATAAAAATCTGTGATTTCGGTGGGTATGTTTTGAATATAATTTTTTGTCATTTTACCTTCTTCGTTCCAACGCCAAAATACATTGATTTATAAAATTCCATATGGAAGAGAAAGAAATCGAATACAGTACAGTGTCAGTGAAACGGCGCACGCAAACGCGTTTCAAATATATACGTCGTTGGTTGTGTGTATGTGAGTGTTTGTGCTAAGGCGTGCTGACGATGATACCGGCACGATATTGAGCTTAGCAACAACAACAAAAAACAAATAAATAAAAACACAAACTCTCTTTAACCAAACCGAAAATTCTTCATATTATTTTTGGAGTAATAATAATAATGGAAAAATAATACGTGTAATAGAGAGATAACAAAATACAATTCGGACGCTATTTTTGGCGCTAGGGCAAGTAAATAGGATTTTCAAGAAATAGAAACCTTATTTCCATCAATTATCTATTCGAGGGCCTTAAGCACTTACAGCATATTAGCACAACCGTTTATTCACCTACCGATGTACATATGCGCCTCTTTTGAATTCTATGGTTTCATGGCTTGCATAACAATTGTTAACTGAACAAACATGAAACAATCAGCAAAACATTCCATCGTAAATATGTTGGAAACCCCTTTTTTCTTTTAAATATTATGCAAAAGAAAATGAAAAGATGAAATGACAAAATGCGAAAAGGAATTTCGTGAAATGCAATGTTTGAGTTTATGGATCAATCATTTTCTTCGTCTTTTCTAACCACTACCACCACCGACGACGCCATCGAACGATACGGTTTGCGGTGCGGTGGCAGAGAGAAAGCATAAGAAGTCAATAGACGCCGAAGCAATGGCAATAATAAAAATACGGAACTTCGGCAAGGGATGTTTTATTGAGTAGGTTCAAGGCCCTTTGATTTGCTTTTTGAATATTGTATGTGTGCGTAGTAACGTGGTAAGTATTATTTCGGCGCATTTTTTACCATTCTCTGCCTCTCCCTTTGTTGTGTTGTATGAAAAAAAAAAAAAAGAGAAGACTCACATTGTTTGGGAAGTTTCGTTGCACATGCGCGCTGATTGACTCACGCAAATGGCGGGAATCGACAGAATTTTCCGTTTGTGATAACAAAGTTGACGCGTATTTGAATTGAAAATACGAGAAGCACCACGGGTGTTATCAACGTTGCTAAAATAATTGGTTGCTATTGTGTGGTTGGTATTGCATACGCACACTCAACACTCAATACGACGCGGGCAAACGAGAGAAAAAAGAAGAATAAACGACACGTGTACTCCATAAAATGTACTAGCGCGCTAAAGCTTTAGTAACATATCAAGTATATATCATAGTCTAATGTTAAGAACTGTTTTAGAAACACATTCGATGTCATCGCCTTCGAAATTTTCTTTTTTTTTTCGCTTCTCTCTATCTCGTATAATTTTAAATTTCTTCGATCATTTTCACCGAATACCAGAAATGAAAGTAGAGAGACCTCGAAATAAAAACGACCATAATTCACACAATGTGATGGTTTGTTGAACATACACACAATCACATAAAAATGCTCATCTATTTTCTGATTCCTTACGCACAGGAATCAAGCGATTAAAGCTGTTTAGATTTATGGAATTCTTCTTGCAAAAGTCCCAATATATCTAAAGATGTTTCATGTCCATACGTGATAATTCTCGCGTTCGCATGAAAGACACCACGCACCGTGATTCAAACAAAAAAAAAACGAATGATTCAATCAGAGATTTTTTTTACATCACTTTTGCTACTCATTTTCTTTCATTACGCAAAATGGGCCATGTCTTCGTCGGCTCGGCCAGCCAAAATTTATTTATATTTTCATTTCACTAGCGATTGATCGGTAGTTGTCTATTTCTGATGCCAAAGATGACAGCTTTATCAATACGTAGATGTGGCGCTCGCACATCTCACTTTCAATGGGTCGTAAAAAGATCACTCGATCTCGCTGAGTTTATATGTTAGGCCTCATTGTAATATCTATTTCCGTTTTTTGCACACGACAACAACGATCATCGTCTGCCGTATGTTTGCAAATATTAAAAAAAACGATAGCAAAGTCGGTCGCCACACAGCGAGAGCAGTAGAAACAACAACAAAAAAAAAACGAGAGTTCGCATTTTGAATTTATATCACGCCCACGAAATGTCTTTCGCTTTTTATATCAATTCACAAAAATTTAATAAAGCACACACTAGTCTTCTTCCATTGTCAAGAACGAGATACATAAATCCAAACGAAAAGACAAGCATAGAATTTAGTGCGTTGTACAATAAATATATCTCTTTGGTATTCATTGGATTTTAGTTAAAACGAGCGCTCTGTATTTTTGGTTTGCGTGCGTGTGTGTTTCTAATTTTTAAAATATTTTGTCCCCACACAAAAAATGCCACTCTTCTTGCGCCTGGAATTCTTTCAACCTTTGTTGAAGAAAAAAAAACACACACACACAGAATTTCTATGCGCGGATGAGTAACCGTGTTCCCAACTAATTTGAAATAAACGTGACAAAAATAGCTGACTATTTATGATGTGTACATTGTATGTGCGTTTCTATGTGTGTGTGTGTGCGTATATTAAATTCAGCTGATGTGTTTTAGGCTCATTCATTTTATGGCATTCATTGATGGACAATTTGGATATTGAAAGAAAGAAATACTCGCATACTGGATGATTGCTGCAGTAACAGACACACTGACTGCAAGTTGACACAACAAATGCGCACCGAAAATGACTTAATTACGGAAAAAGCATTTCGAAATGTAGAATAGTCGTAAAAGAAAGAAAACACACACACTCAAAATTACAAATTGAAATTGAACTCTATTGAAAGTCAGCCGAGGGAATAATATAACTGTTGGTCGCACGGGAACTAATCTCATTTGATAACACTCTGTAACTACATTAACTAACAAAAAATTATTCAAATAAAAAATATACTCAATACGTGCTTGACACCACCTTAATTCTAATTGAAATGTAAGCCTATAGGATTATGATACTTCAAATGAAATGAACAAAAAAATGTAGTTAAAGAATAACGTACCTGAATCAGATGGTGTTTGTACGCCCAATCCGATGACATCAACTCGGTTTTTATTTCTTGTGTAGCTGTGGTCACTGTGCATACTTTGTGTAATTTCGTAGGCTGTGATTGTGTTTTTGATCGTGGTCGGTTGTATTTGTTGCGGCGGTATCGAAGCCATTGTGTTGTTTGCACTAAAACTATCGTTGGTCGCATCACTTTCATCGGTAATTTCTTCGTCTTCGGATTGATTTTCAAAATCGGGTAAGCTTTTTATGTCATTGATAATTTCATCTAAATCATCTGCATCAGCTCGTATATAACCGGTGACTTGTGGTGTGCGATTGCTGCTTGTGTCTTCCAAATGTTCTTTCAAAATGTTTATGATTTCGGTTGGTGAATCTTCGATTAAACTCATTCTATTCGAACCAACGGTGCATGCTGCCAAATCGATATTGTGTTTAAATTCGGGAACATCATCATCCAAGCTCAATGGAGTGTCTGGACGTGCGATGAAATCACGATTGTTGAGGAAGTCATTGGTGGTAATTTTCGGCACATGAATTGCAATCGGTTTTATTTGTCGTAGCAACGATTGACCAGCCGGAATATTATGTTTGTTCTTTTGTTGAATGCTTTTCTGTTGTTTTTGCAATAATGATGCGTTGTGTGATTGTTGTTGTTTTTGCTGTGACGTCGATGCTGTTTGTTGTATGGCCGCCAATTTATTCTTATTGCAATTGTTTCGGCTGTTCAAGCATTCATTTGGATGTGTTGTACACCGTCCGGACCACATGCAGTCATGATTACGGATTTGACTTTGTGGCGATAATGGTTCGTCGAATATATCCAAACCAAAATCGAATTGTGATTCGATGCTGAACTCCGATGCTGGGAAGTTCAGTGCTTCATATTTCCAATCCATGTCGGCGTCAAAGTTAAATTGATCGTTAAAATTCATATTGATCTGCGTACTAGAATCATCAAACATCTCGCTTATTTTTCGAATTCGTTTATAGCTCAACATAAAATTAATTTAAAAACCACAATGGGTATCGGTTAAAAGTTAAAATTGTTTATATGAATTGTTTGGGGATTGGTCGTATTTCTATCTCTTTTCCAATCTCTCTCCCGCTTTTTTTTATTGTTGTTATTATCAAATTGTGGCGAATCTCTTGCCTCCAAGGTGATTTTCCGCTGTGTGTATGTGTAGTTGAACCGGTCTGCAAAAAAATGAGAAGAAAAAAAATGAACGTAAAAAAATTGAATTGAATTACATTTTGTATGGCGAGGATTGTCAACATTTAGAAAATTGTTTCTTGTGTGATAAAATAGACACAATTTTTTTTTCGCTTTGTATTTTGTGTCGTGCAATTAAAATTCTGCTTGAAGCATTTCATTTATGATATGCAGTTTACCCGTAGCGGCAACAGCTAATCAGCAACTTTCGCTTTATGATTAAAGTGATCGATAACACAACGTCGGCTTATTCATTGCATATGCATCGTAAATTATTATTATTTTTTTTTGTTACTCTCTGTAACCCGGTATTTTTTCCGCTCTCTATTCATGAATGAAGTAGAGTGTGCTGTAGTGTTTGCGAGCGCGCGCGCGCGTCACTGATCGTAATGAGCTCTCTTGTTAAAGAGACGCAAACGCTAATCTCCATAGTTTTCTCCCTATTATTCACGATTCGATTGAAAGGTGTAATAACGAAAAGAAGCCAATAATTGATATATAAAATTGATCTATTTCTATGTATGGCAAACGGAATAATCAATGAAATGACATGGCACCTCTTGGAAAGCGGGGAAATATACACGAGATGTCTTGCGATAATGAAAAAAAAAAAAAACTTAAGTCGTTTCAACGCTAAAGTACAAAGATCGCATGCACATTTATCGTGCGCGGGGTTTGTATCCATAACGAAGTATAATGTGCCCATAAAAAGACGATATAAATCATTCAGAATTCATCACCATAAAACCACATCGTGCACTGCCATTCGGTTGCAGTGAGATGCCGTATGAACATTTAAATGCAAACCCTTTACTAACGCCAAATTGCTCGCATGAATGTGTGAATGGTTCGACGCCTACGCCCGATAACACACCATTCACGAACTCTCTTAATTAGAATAATGAAATCAATGCACTTCACTATTTGGAGCGTACAATTGTGAGAGTTGCTGGCATATGTTGACGCGCTGTTGGCTGCGCGAGCGTTCGATTGAGTGAAAGGCGTCAATGGAAATGAAAATAGACATTTACGGTGTGTTAATCACTTTTTGAGAAAGGAAAATGTTTCAATTTAAAACAACAAATAACAAATGATAGAAAAAAACGGGGAAAAATGAACAAAATTGATGGCATCGGTTCGATACATTTCGAAATCAACTTGTTTAAAAAAACCGATTGGCAAAAAGCGACAAGACACGTAACCATAAACAATTTGATCCGGTGACTTTGATCTCATTAGGTTTTCCATTTATTTCGTTTGTTTGCCTCTCGTTTTTTGCATTCCAAACATATATTGGCATGCATATGGAGAAGAAGTCTGTGGCCAATTTTCGCTTGCATCATTTTCACACAGTGCAATTTGAAATTGGTACGCCTATGTTTCTCTCTCATCGCCATCGTCATCGTCGACCATATGCACACAATTCGCAATATAATTCTGATGCATGCATGCAATGTGCCATTGATGACCATTCGCAATCCATTTACTCAATTTACACAATTCATATCGATAGCCAATACAATTCGTCACTCATGTTGTTGACTTGCATGTACTTTGGCGGCTTTTGCCGTTTGGGTTAATGAATTGGAATTGCAAAAGGCACACACACACACACACACACGATTACTCATACCAGCGAGAATAAGACGGCAGAGAATTTTGAGGTGGCTATGACGACAGCGTCAGTGGGGAATGGATTGGTTTCTTTTTCTTATTGTGCCTAACGTGCATCAAGATACTGTGTCTATATGTATGCGTATAGATTGTGAGTCTATGAGGTGCAGTCAATAAGAAACCCACGAGTATAGTATAACTGTACTAATATAGTATTTCATTTATGTTATGCTGCTGTTGTGAAAAATAAATGGAATTTTCCCATACCAATGTTCAATTGGAAACGAATGCGATAGCACAGCGAACGCGTGTGCAAAAATCAGTGACGACGACGGCTACAACTGCGACGGCGACAATGGCAACTCTATCTAGATCTCTGGCCAAAGACTCTGACTGTGCAATGATATAGTCAACTCGAATGGAGCACCGAAAAAAATGAGTACAAAGCCATGAATAAAGCAACACACATAATCAAATCAATGGACTTGATGCAGAGTCACTGACAGACTGTCGCATCGCGCGAAACATACACACAGACACAACGACACAAAACATACAACGGATATTGAATATCTCGCATATTAAACCGCAAATGGCACACAGTGCATAAGCAGTAAAAAAAAACAAATTATATACGTTTTGCATCAATATTTACACATGTTATTAGTTTGATCTTTTCTTCTTTCTCTGTCCCGCTTGGCCTTTTTCAATATGTGGTTCTCATCATCCTTCGTCATCATTAACATCGCAAAATATCAATCACATTGAAGGAATAGCAAGCGGATTCATCGCATCAATGCTTCTCTGAATTCGCGAAGAGAGCACACACTCTGTTTGTAAATATCATTGCGGGTCGTGTGTGTGTGTTTTTTTTCGCTTGCATGTGTTCGCATGAATTGAAAGCGTATTTACCTCATTCATCGCGAATGAAATGAAGGAAAAAAATTGGAAACACCGAATGATTGACTGTTGCAACCGGCTTTTTTCTGCTTGCTCACTCGGCCTCTTATTGTTTTTTTTGTTGTTGCTTTATATATTATTTTTTTTGCTGTGCTGTGTGTGTGTGTGTGTGTTGATGGCGCGTATACTATTATTATTAGTATTTGAGTTCATGATAAAAACGATGAATCATTATTTTATGACTGACGCCGGCTATGTACAAATTCTCAATGGGCTCAATGAATAGCAACGATATACACACAAACAAGCCATGCAATATATATATGTGACGAAAAAAAATCCCCGACAACATGTTACCATATGCGAATGTCTTCTAGATGGATAGACTGCTGCTTGGCTTCTGTTGTTCGTTGCGCGCATTATCATCGAAAAAAATGTCATAATTTGGTTTTTTTTTTTCAAATAAATTTATTTAAATAATATAATAAAGGGCCATAAGTTGGTTCAGATAAAAGTGTACGGGCAATGTGTATGTTTGTGTTTTAAAACTTAATTTGGCACGACATCGAATGAACACACATGAAACTAAATTGTATATTATGGCAATAACGAAATAATATGAACGTGATCACGAGACATGAAGCAAAAAAAGGGAAATCTTCAATTGATGTAAGCGTGCAATGCAAAATGCTTTGCAGTGGGCAGCACCGCATCGATGACGCTATATACTTTGGCATTTTTTCCGATAAATAATCTCATTTGCCAGCAAATCACCAAATCTATTCCCATTTTCTCGTTTGTTCTTGGTTTTTTTTTTACTTCTAAAAGTTGTACAAAGATGTGGCTTCTCAATAGAATTTCATTATATATGCAACACACATGCGAAGAAGAACGCACGCTATCAAATGAAATCGTCATCGTATCTTATTTGCCTTTTTTTCATTGTCTTTTGTGTGTTGTATTATTTGAAAAGGGCAGAGAGAGAGATGAAGGGAGAAGAAAAAAACCGATAAGTCATGATTATTAAGTGTGATGGTGTATATGCGATTTGCAATGATTCAGCTGGCGTCCGATGTGTGATTACCTCGTTATTTTCTAAGATCGTAAATTTAGAACGGAACAAATGGATGAGCGCTCGCGCATTCTCTCTCTTGCTCTTTCTCACTCTGCATTCCTACTAAGATTCTCTTGTCATTTTTTGTTGTTGTATAAAAATGGACATTTTTGTGAAACGTTTTCTAATTTCAGTTATATTTAAGAACGATGACTGTGTGTTATTATCATCGTTATGTCAAATCCTCGTGCCATATGTGATCATGAATAAAAATAAGAACATTCACTTTCATCATTGTTCCTTTTGTATTCTATGCTGTCGATCATCGTCTCGCTCTCTTTTTTTCAGTTCGTCAAGATTATTCTGATTCATTTGTTTTGAACAATATCGCTTTCATGTGACTAATTTAGCCGATAGACAGTAATGAATGCAATCCAATTTCAATGAAAAGAAAAGTGAAATCTTTGAATTTATTATTGGGTTACCGGAGATCGTAAATAAGATCGGGAGACAGAGCAAATGAAATTCCAGTTAAACATTTGCACAACACATCTTTTACCCTGAAATTAACAATTTGGCCCCGGAATAAAAGAAAACGAATCGAAGGTAAAATGTGTGCATATTTCATTTTTATTGGTCTCTTTTTGAAAACACACATTGGGAAATTGAAAAATGCTCGCCTAAATTACGAGGTATGAGAAACTAGCTCATAAATAAGAATCGTTGTATTCTTTTTATATTTTGCCAATAGGATATGCAGCCATTGAATGGCCTTGTTCATTTGTGAACTCAATCAAATGAAAGTGAATAAATCCGAAATGCCATTGGACCGAATGTGAATCTAACTTCATTGTTAGATCGACACATTTTCTTTCCCCCATTTTCTTGATCTTCGTTCTCAATTCGTTCGGAGTGTGTGTTGGATGAAATTTGAAATTGAAAAACTATTACACACCCGTAACATTCCCTTTATAATTCGAACACGCCGTGAATCATAATTGCCGATGAAGTAGCTATGAATTAAATCACATCTTTCTCTTTGCTCTCGTAATTTTTCCCAATTATTGAATTGCGTAAGCACACGTCACAAACACACAAAGAAGAAGACGAAGAAGATAAGAAATAATAATAATACAAATGACGAACAATGCAAAGGAATTAACGGAAAGAGAGCAAAATGCAACGGATTTGTGTTGTATTTTTCCAGGCAGAAATTATGGAGAAAACTAGAAAAATTCTTGTTTCCCATCTATCACCTCGGTTATGATTGAATTGCGCCGACCAGAAAATTACCTAAACGATACAGATGCGCACTGATTTGCAATTGTTTTCGGTCGAAAAACGACAACTCGGGCCAGATGTTATAGGTAATTGGGTTGGTAGTGCAAAACCGATTCTTTTCTATTTTCTTGCTCT